GAAACAAAGTCACCTACATCTTGGATGCCCTGGGGGTGAGTAAAAAAAACACAAGTTTTCATTTTTGGGTGAACTAACCCTTTAAGCCATAAATACATTCCTTTATATATATATATATATATTTTTTTTTTTTTTTCAATATTGGGTATTATTTTGTTCCTTAGTGTGACCCAATCTGGCCAAGTAGATGTAGCACCCATTATTTTATTTTTTAAAAACATCCTTTTTTTTTACACTTTAAAACTTTGGACAGTTTTGACTTTAAATTATGTTGTAACACCCTTTATTTTACATTTGTTGGATGTGTTTATGCATATTTAACTGTGTGTGTTGTTGATTGTGATAGGCCCAGTACATACTGATCCACACTGCTCTGATTGAGCACAACCAGTTTGGAGAGACAGAGGTCTCACTGTCTGAATTCCACTCAGCGCTCAACACTCTCAGACAGAAAGATGGCAGTGACCCCAGTTTGCTTGAAATGGAGTTCCAGGTTTGTCCTCCCTCTTTGATTTTCAGCTGATTGGTTATTAGGACACTGACATGTCCTGTACTGTGTGTATCTTATTGTTAATGCAGCATGTTTTCCCATTGCTTTCCTTTATAAAGAAACTGCCCAAATTTAAAAAATGGAGAACGTTTAACACGGGAAGCAGCGAGGACAACAAGAAGAAAAACCGCTACTCAGATGTTATCCCATGTCAGTGACCAACACCAACTTTATTAATCTGCAGATCTTGGTTTCAAATGCATGTTACAAAACTATATATAATATACAGACACAAATTTACTTCTTCATTATAAGTTAGCATTAGATGAGTTACCAGTGAGCATTTCTGTTCCAGATGACTTTAACAGAGTCCTGTTTAGACTGGACATTGAGGGCAACCAGACCAGTGATCCAGAGGATGAGGACGAGTATTCATCAGATGAGGAAGAAGAATCTAATGAATACATCAACGCCTCATTCATTGCTGTATAAAACTTGATTCTCTTGAATTCTCTTGAACTCTTGAATTTATATTATCTAATATATCGTTATTTTTTAATACAGTTATTAGAGTGAATGAGAAATTGTTTAATAGATTAGAATATGTAAATATGAATAAAATATGCTTGTTATTGCTTTCCAACAGGGCTACTGGTGTCACAAGAGTCTGATCGCAGCACAGGGGCCTTTACCAAACTCGATGGCAGAGTTCCTGCTCATGCTGTACCAACAACAAACTAAAACACTGGTCATGCTCACAGACTGCCAAGAGGACGGCAATGTACGACCTCCCACAATAACAGAGAGAGAGAGAGAGAGAGATGAATAAACAGACAGACAGAAAGATTGAGGGATAGATAGACATGTAGACAGACAAGCAGTAAAACTAGATAGTAAGACGGATAGGTCGAACAACAAAAAGAGTGACAAAGGGAAAGACTGACAGGTGGAAGGATTGACAGACATAGATAGATAGACAGACAGACAGACAGACAGATAGATAGATAGATAGACAGACAGACAGACAAAGCAATTGACTGATCTCTGCCCAGTTTTTCAGCCCATATTTATTTTTTATTGTTTCAGGATTATTGCTGTCAGTACTGGGGAGATGAAAAGAAAACTTTCGGAGACATGGAAATTGAGGTCAGAAAGACAGAAAGCTTTCCAACGTATGTGAGACGGCATCTGGAAATACAGTCCACAAAGGTAAGCAGAGTCCTTCTCCTCAGCATGAATATCTGTGACGTCATTATCTGCAGACATATGAATCCGTTTTGAATCCTGTAACAGAAGACAGACGTCTTGGAGGTGGATCAGTACCAGTTCCTGAAATGGAAAGGCCGTGGGCTTCCGGAGAACGCTCAGGAGTTAATAGAGATGATAAGGGTCATCAGAGAAAACGGCAATTATGACAACAGCAGAATGAACCGGAACATCCCCATGGTGGTGCACTGCAAGTAAGTCCATCAACACCAGTTTTTTTCCTGATGGACATGGGTGGATGGATTGATGGATTTTAAACTTCCGTAAACTTTCAATTCAGCAATGGATCGTCGCGTACCGGAATCTTCTGTGCCTTATGGAACCTCTTGGACAGCGCATACACAGAGAAGCTGGTGGACGTCTTCCACGTAGTCAAAAACTTACGCAAGGAGAGACAGAGGATTGTGGAAACAATCGTAAGTTCTTGCTTTGTTTATAAAAACAATATACCTTAGTCAGGTTAGATGCTATATTGAATTTAACGCGGGTGAAAACAAGGCTGTGGGGGTTAAATTTGCAGCTTTACAATGGCACACACTGTATAAAGATCCTAGCTCATGTAATTTTTCTCAACCCACAACTTTAAAAACTTTCATCAACTAAAAATTTTGTTGGCTGACAACTCGGTATGTTTTTAATGGTACAATTCATTGAATGACTGAACTTATCCCTCACATCCTCATTTTCATTCCTGTCAAAAATTACATTTGGCGCTACCCTGACTAGGGTTTATAGAAGAGTGGAAAAACGTAATCATCTTGTACTTTCCTTAAAATACTGATCTGTACCATTTTGGAAGAAAAAAAATAGTTTGGGATTTCCATTGTTATTGTAGAGTCTTTTATGACCCTTGGTTATCCTTTTCTATGATTTACACTATATTCATATTTTAGCATGGGCTTATTCAAACTGTATATCTTTGCTAATGTTTGCTAAATGTGACCCTGGAGCACAAAACCAGTCGCTGGGGTATATTTGTAGCAATAGCCAACAATACATTGTATGGGTCAAAATTATCGATTTTTTCTTTTATGCCAAAAATCATTAGGATATTAAGTAAAGATCATGTTCCATGAAGATATTTTGTAAATATCCTACCGTAAATATATCAAAACTTGCTTTTTGATTAGTAACATGCATTGCTAAGTACTTAATTTGGACAACTTCACAGACGATTTTCTCAATATTTAGAAAAAAAATTTTTTTTGCACTCTAAGATTCCATTTTCAAATAGTTGTATCTCAGCCTATCCTAACAAATCATAGATCAATGGAAAGCTTATTTATTCAGCTTTCAGATGACATATAAATCTCAATTTCAATAAATCGACCCTTATGACTGGTTTTGTGGTCCACGGTCACAAATGTGAAATCTTGCACTTAAAGGTGACTTCAAAGATGTTTTAACACAAATTAAGTGTAGTTTGCAAATACATACCACATAGGCCCTACAAGTTCATAAACAATCCATGAACAAATCATATTAGTCTTTTGTTGCACGTTAAAATGCTTAAGTACTTCTAAACTCCTCACAGGAGCAGTACCAGTTCCTCTACACGGCTCTAGAGGGCGCTTTCCCGGTGCAAAACGGCGCCGTCAAGACGCCACCGGCAAACGACACCACGCAGGTCATCAACGAAACCACGGCGCTTCTCGACGAGCCCAACAGCACTTCCGGTGCTGACCAGAAGGAGGCGGAAGAGAGCAAAGCCGCAGAGAGCAGCGAGCAGGAAGCCAAGGAGAGCAGCACTGCTGAGGCTCCACCAGCAGAGGGAGAGAAACCCAGCACCACCAACGGCCCTGCCGCCACCGTAGAGCTTTAAGCATTTTGGGGGCTAAAATAGTTTCGCTAATTTGACACCAAGTGTCAAGGAGTGATTTTTTTTTTTAATGCTTTTGATTTCTTGTTTTACATTTGAGTTTCATTGTACATTAAATGTTAGATCCGAGTTTTTTGTGGAGAATTCGGGTTAGGATCTGACTGATCCATTAAAACGTACGTTTCTGCCTCAGGTTTCGGTTTGGATTTTCTGTATAGGCTAATGACGCTGTTTGTGTGAAATCTGTGCATACTGATATTGTTTATTCACATGTGTAAAGGATTTGCTTTATGATTTGATTTTTAGGCTATCAAATTGCGTTTTGAATGTATTGTAATATAAGACCTTACAGACGATATTTTCTGTTGTTTTTTTATTATTTGTATTTTTTTTTTTTTTTTTTAGTTTGGAAACTGTATCAAAGCACAGCCTTATTGCATCTAAATTATAGTGCCTGAAATGTTTGATGGAAGTGAGTGTTTTTATGTTCGAGAACAACCAAAAAAAGGGCAAAGATGACTTTGCACTACAGGGCTGTCATCAAACTGTCTTTCATTTCACAGTTTTTCCCCCCGATTCGCTTATACATATTTGATTTTAAGCAGATGTAACATAACAAAAAAAGAATAAAGGATAGCTTGAACAATACAGCTGTTGTGTTTTACCTCGCTATAAGCTTCAAACAGGTGAAATAAACACGAGCAAAAGCGTGTCACTCGTCCTGATCCAGGTCAGACCCTCTTTATGGTTTTGTTAACCCGTTTGTGTCCTCGTCAGGTGCATGAACCTGGCCTAGAAAATGTCAATAATGTAAAACCAGAAGAATATGCCTATAACGTAACGAGCATTTGTAACGCAAACATTAGCCACAAGATGGCGCATGCTAACAAAGAAGTAAACACACAGACACGTCCATCAAGCCAGTGTGCTTTTGGTATGAATAATATCAAATTTGAATTACCAAAATATGTTTGTGATGATAGACTGATATAAAGAAAATATGTCAGTTATTTTCACTATAGAGGTATATAGGCTATAGGCGAATAAAAATATATAATTATGCATATAATTTGTGAATGCAGAAATGCAAGTGTATTTATTATATTTATTTATTAAAAAATATTGAATACGATTAAAACAATTTTAATTACCTAAAAAATCATTAAAAATGTCAGGAGATAAAAAATATATATGTCAGAAGTTGTTTTATTGACTGAAATTATGGTTTGTTGGCTGAGGTCTCCAAAAAACTATTTGTCTCACTTCATTTAATTTTCCCCTTTAAGTCAGTAAAAGAAAATGGGGCATCGGTGGCCCTGCAGTGATTCAGGAGAGAGAAATATTTGTCTTCTCATAACACACTGGAATAAATAAATAAATATATTTTTGAAATCATATTATTTTAGGCCCAAATCCAGAGGCCAATTGTGGGTGAATCGTGAAAGGAGAATTTAAAGCTCACTATCTTTCTGTTTTTTATTGCTTAACCGCCATAATTTAAAAAAAATTATACTAGCCTATATATATATATATATATTTTTTTTTTTCGTTTTGTTTTTATAGTTAGGTTTGGAAATAAAAATGTCGATGTATCAGAACGGCACCTTTCACTGAAATTATCTAATTATATCTGCAGCCATTTTGACCTTTTAACCGTAAATGTGTAAATGTTAAAGCTAAGCTTTGAACGTTATATTGGGCATCATGAGGTGAACGCAAGCGGCTTTTACTGTAAGCCACGTCTGTACAGGTCAAAGAGGGAAATTCCCTTTAAATAAATCATCAGTGAATCTGTGGAGCAGCATTTGCATTCAGCTGTCACATGTAACTCCACACAGCCATGCAATTATCATACCATCTTTCATGCAACATTTCTGACGGATGTTTCACTCTTTCAACTTACTGTTGTGTAAAAGTATCAGAATCAGGCCTCCGTTCTCTACTGTATGTTGAATAGGTTATATATGTGAAACTGCCCTTATACACTCTGTAATTAGTGTGTTGCTCTGTGACGGGTTTCGCCTCTAATTGAGCACTTTAAGCTCACACTAAATACAGCAAATTAATTCAGAGATGTTCAAACGTTCACTGCGGTTACTCGCTATGCATGTTAATATGCTATGGCCATGCTGCATATCTGTAACTGGCAGAAAATGCATGAAATATGGGCGCAGGACTTTATATTTACATTTAACGCATTTAGCAGATGCTTTTATCCACAGCCACTTACAAGTTGTTGTTGTTTTTCCGCTTTTATGAGGTATTTAGGGCCAAAAAAACGATTAGTAATAAAATAGTTTTGTTTTAAATGTACTCAAATATTTGTACATTTTTATACAGGACACTACATAAGGAGATTTTGTTTTTGGTCTATAATCTCAAAGTCATTATAACATTTATGTTACATTTTTGTATTTGCTAAACACCTTTATTTTTATTTGTTTATTTTGGATGGGTTGTTTTTTGTTTGTTTTCTTTTGTTTTGTTAGTCTGTAGGTGGATGAAACACAAATATGCACTTTAGAAACAAAAGTTTTGACTGATAAACAAAAAAGTGTAAAGAAAAACATAGCTTATTTTTATGCCACTAACTTGTTCGGGGGAATGTTTCCCAAACATTCCCCCATTTGCTATTGGTCAAAAAAATGTAGCCCCGCCCCTAAAGTCATGCTATTGACAGAAAGCTGCCTTTGAGTTTAACGATGCACATGAACTAGATTTTGTTTTTGATCATTTGTTTGTTTGTTTGTAAATTATTATTATTATTATTATTATTAGTTTTGGCCTTTTATCACTTTTTACATTATTTTAATATTTTTAAACAATAAAACTTTTTGATTTGTTGTTGTTTAATTAAAATAACTCATGTTGCATTATCACAAAATGTTTTATCCCAAACTGAAATTATAAGAACATATTTATGGTTTACATGTACAATATTTGCATGATTTATACAGTAGGTTATACAATAAGATTTAGATTTTAGCATAATAAACAGTGTTTTGAAATTACTACATTAATTATGCTTTTTTAAATGCCAGCAAACCATTTTTTTTCTGTGTTTGTTTTAGGGTAGGCAGTTTTTCAGTTGTTCAGCAGTTTGTTTTGTTTTGTGAGTCTGTGGTTGGATGAAAAACAAACAGCTCACATTCACATTAGAAACAAAAGTTTTGATTGAAAACAAAAAAGTGTAATGATAAACAACTTGTTTTATTGCACTAGTGTAAACAAACCAAATTTCAAATATATTTGTTTTCAAACAAAGATTTCTGTTTCCCAAAAATACCCACATCCGTTACTGGTCGGAAAAAATGGTAGTCCCACCCCCAAACTCATGCTATTGGCAGAGATCTACAATAACGAGCTACAACCGGCCTGTTTTTAATTATATTTATTTATTTATTTATCTTTCAGATAGTCAGACATTTTATGTGTGTTATTCCAAAAATAATCACTTAAACCAGCCTGGGACATGCATTATACTCTTTGGACATATAAAGATTCATTCATTGATGGATCTATGACTATAAATGTCCCGACACACATGTGGCTCCTACAGAGTCATCCCGCTTCGGTTTCTGGCGAGACACTGAGACTGATTCAGACGGCCAGACCTCAGGTGACGCTCAGCTCCACAGCTGGAGACCCATAACATCAATAACAGCATCTGACTGTGGAGATGATGAGCAGCTCTGGGTCTGAGGGTCTGCACTTACACCTCATTTTACATTCAACGAACGAAGTGACCCGAGAAGCCAGCGTAACTCTGTTTCCATTGAGAGATGGCATGATGGAGCTCGCTGTGAGTATGTTTTGGGGTTTCTGAGCGAGGTGTGCACGTGACCGCCCGAGACGGCCCAGCCCCAGACTGAGTATTCTAATGCAAACAAGGTCTCTCAGCACACAAAGAGGCTACATATCTCATACAAAAGATGTGTTGAGCCTGGACACAACCCACACAGTGTCCAATGTCCTCATACAGTCATGTTTTGTCTCTCTCTCAGTCTGTATGAGTCTTGAGTGGTACAGGCCTGGAACAATGAGGAATTCACACACACTTAAACACACTGGGGGTGTGTTTTCGTCTCTTCGGGTCATGTTTGGTATGATGTGTGAATCCAAGATGAGGTTTTCAACATATTTCTGATATCTGTGTCCATTTTGTGCAATTTAATGTTGTATTAGTTATTTACGCACTTTCTACAAAAAAAGCTAAATCAAATTTTTATTATGTATTTGTTACTTGCAACATTTTGACATGTTTTTCGACATTTGTTTTGGGAGTAACATGCAAATATCATGGTAAATTAATATGGCAACCATTCAGTGCTACAGTATTTATAAAAGTATCATGATAAAAATGCTTTTTTCCCTTGGATTTTTATCATGGTAAAATCATGGCATTTTGATGAAGTACCATGGAGTACTGTGCAAATATTATGGTACATGAATATGGCAAATATTTAGTATGTATAAAGTGCTATAATATTATGTTTCATAGTACATAGCCCATATAAACATGATACAGTATCATGTGTCATAATATGATAAACCATGATTTTGTTTTGTTTTGTTTTTTATTTTGTTTTGTTTTTTATTTTGCTTTTTTTGGACACAATAACATGGAAATACCATTATTTTTTTTGACATATTTTGTTTTGTTGTAATGTATAGTATCATGTAAACAACATTTACCATGATTGACAGCCATTGATTTTATTTTATAAATATTTTTTTTTTATTATTTTATTTTATTCCATTATTTACCACTATCATTAATTTTTGCACATATGTAAAGTACTTTTCCATAAATTATTTTTTTCTAGGATATTTGGATTTATTTGCTTTTACATATATAATAGAATCTCTAAACAAATTCAGTGGATTTTAGTGCTCATATGTGACAAAGCAATTACACAGTGTTCATATTATAGGCTAGTGATATTAAAATAATATTGAATAATAAAAATAAACAAGAAACTACTCATACATAGCATAATTATTCTGTAAAGGTGTAAATGAACAAACGTAATATCAAATAACAATTAAAAATTAAACTCATTAATTCAACAATTAATTATAAATAATAGCAATTATAATTGTTTACAATAATAACAACAATAATTATCATTATTATTAGTATTAGTGTTATTATTGCATAAGATGGTCATGCATAATGTAAAGATGTGTGTTGCACAATCGTGTAATCATTTTTGTTATGTTCCTTCCAGCTTGTATACAAGACCTTTTGAATTGAGTGTGGCTCACATGACACGGCGGCAGTAAATGATACACGTGCTGGACTAATTCATGATTGTATGTGTAGTGAATGGGTGTGCCTGGCCGGGCCACTGTCCCAAATAACTGTGACGCTCTATTGCATGGCTCATTGTTGCATGATAACACTGCGCCGGGACGACAGACGCCCCCGCCCCCTGGAACACCAATCAGATTCCCCGTTTCCAGCATATAATTCCCCATGTAGGGGCCATTTATGAGGCATTATGGGAGCACTTTAAAATCTCATTAGACGGGACAGCTGCACTTCGATACTGCATGCTGCTTTAGCCATTTCTATTATTGCTGCTGGGGATAGCGCTACCCCCTCTGTTTTGAGATGAGCCCCATTTTGGGAGCTTAAATGAAGCTAATTGTA